GTCTAAGATATAAGCAAACCGATCATAATAGGACTATTACTTCCAAAACCATTTTTATCCCGACCACCAACCAGCTTACGTATGTTCCTAATCCTAAACTCAAGAATAAGGGTATCGTAGGACAAAGGAATAGATATTAGCGACTACATAACTTTGGACCTAGATTTATCTCTACTTTTTTCATTTGTGGTGAGTTAGGACATATAAAGTCTAGGTGTCATATATTTATGAATAGAAATAGAAATCTGAATTTCACTAGAGTTAGAAATTAGGATTTTGATAGTCAAATTGATTTCCTCACTAATCAAGTGAGTCATTTGACCAAATTAATAACACAGTTGACTCGAAATAAGTCTACCACTAGACAGATTTGGGTAAAAAAGAGTGATTTAAAAAATTTTAAAATTGATCACGAAGCTCTTAAAGGTAAGAGCGTTTGTATACCGAATTGATTATGTACTTTTGATGCATGCTTATGCTTTTTAATTGATTCATTCATTATTGCACGCATCTCTTTTTTTTTTTATTTGATTTTACTTTTTAGGTAGTTTGATTTTTTATATAAAAAAAAAATAATAAAATTTAACGAAAAATTGAAAAATAAAAAAAATGGGTGAAAATTCTTTACTACAACATGCTGTATTATTTACTTGAACATGTATATTGTGACCAAGTATGAGTTTAATTGATGTGTTGTAACATATTTTCCATTACTTTGTTTAGGTTTATGTGGAGTACATAGTATAGGTTTCTTCATATATCATCTGCTCTGCACACACTATGATCTTGTGAGTAAGTCTTGTCCACATGTGTGAGATTTGGGATGGCCATTATCTGTTGTTAAGGTGGCCTTGAACATGGATTGACCTTAATTTAATAGACCTAATCTCAAGTATATCCCCTTAAATAAAGTAAAAATATTTTATCTTATTCTCTTCTTCGAAGAGTATTTGACTCGAGTAATTAAGCTCGAGGATTTTCTCAAAACCTGATGCCCTATGGTCAATTGACTTGGAGTCTCAGCCCAAAACTCATTATAGGGGTCAATTTAGTCACTTAATAGAGAAGAGTTTGCACATAAGATGTGAAAAATTGAAGAGAAAAATGATGAGTTTAAAAAGGAAAAATGAATTGTGTGAAAATGTATATATGCTCAAAATCAGGAGAAAATAATACTTTTTTGTGAAAAATGAGTTTCAATTAAAGGTCCTAATATGCATTATTGGTTTCACTTTCATTAGTAGAGGAATACACATTTTTAACAGTGATATTTAGTATGTCATTTCTAACAAATATAAGGTATGGAGTCTTGATTATAAGAAATTAGTGGCACTTATCACATATGAGTCACTTATATAATTTACTTCATTTAGACTTGAACTGAGTATGTGGGAAAGTTTACTGATCATTGATTATGCTTGTGTATGCTATCAACTGCATCTTTGAGTTATTATATATTCTTATTACCTTCGTCATTTGCGAAAAAAAGGGGGAGAGTTGATGAATTGCATTTTAAATTTTAGTTATTTTTTTTTTATTGTTTTTTATATTTTTTTTTTTTTTTTATTTATTTTTATTTTTTTTTTTTTTTTTTTTTTTTTGAATGGGAGATGATATTTGAATGTTTAGTTATATTCTGTTTTGATGTTTAGTGATATCAATGTTTGGTTTTTGTGTGTTGGCTTACATTGATATTGTATCTTATTTTAGCTAGCATGTTGTTGAATTTATGAATAACTGTCTCAAATGCTTTTATTCTTGTTATTGTTTCACATGCTTTTACACTTGATGTTTGAGTTGTTTTTTCAAGAAACGGGTTGGACAAAGGAAAAGCAAGATTTAGCCGAGTCAGTTGGTTGGGTAGATAAGATTGAATCGACTTTGATTTGTAATACATGTTTTGTCACAGAATCTCAAATGGGGAGTTTGTAAGGTTTTAAAGTTATTGGCAATCTTTTGACAAAACTATTGTTGTAAAAGGGTTTTTAAAAGTCAAAGTGTCATGTGGTTAGTTAGAAGTCCTGGGATTTGAGTATGGAAAGAAGAAAAAGAGTCATCGCAATTTCTCTAGCATATCACCCAACTGACGCTAGAGCAGTAAAAACAGAACCTGCGTCGCCTGGAATTCACTCAAGCGACACAATATCGCTCGCTTGTCGCTCGAGTGACCGTATATCCCGAGAAAACCTAATTTGGGTTTTTCAACGTTTTTATCCTGCCCATACTATCCAAAATCTCTACACTATATATATCCACACCTCCATTCCAAAAAATAGGTTTGAATATAGAGATAAACAAGTGAATACTTCCTCCATGTAATTCCTAGAGTTCAAACTTATATTGATTTCACCATTGCGTTGCAAAACATCAACCTCACATAAACCAAACTTCAAACTACTTACTTCCATAACATCTGTCAGAGTTCTGAAGATCAAGAAATATTACCGAAGTTCCGGTTGTTGGAGAATGGGAAGTTCTCATTGATCCACACGAGATAGACAAATTCAAAAGGTCGAGAGTTAGTGTAGGAGCACGCAATCCAGGAGGGCTTTGATAATTACTGTTAGGACGTCAGAAAGTACTAGAGTTAGTCGAGTCTTACAGTACTGTAAGTTGAATCATTTATAGTGGATTTTTATTGGTTTGGGACCGAAGTTTTCAACTAGTTACGGGTTTTCTCCATCAACAGTTCTCAAGTGCTATTTATTTTTCAATAATTTATTATCTGCGGCAATTCAACACAAGATAGTAGTGCATTTGAATTCATCTAGATTAATTAATAATTGTGACTTGTTGCATTTATTAATTGATAAATTTAAATTCCGCATAAAACTTATTCACTCCCCTCTAGGTGTCAGTTGGGTCGAACTCCATTATTTCAAAATCTAATCCTAACTATTTATCATAATAAAAAAAACATTGCACTAATAAATAAAAAAAAGGTTATCATGTTTTCATTGACAAAAGCTATCATATAAAAGATCTCAGTGAGGACACATATTGAAAATTTGAAAAATAAAAGCTAAAAATGGACCAAAATTAGTGCATGAAACACAACACGCACCACAAACCTGATTAAGCCTTAGACATTTGGCTTAGGGAATTACTTTTCTAGTGATGGTTACTAGCTTAGTTAAAATTTGGAGGTTGAGATACTCCAATCTATGGAGAATAATGACATGTCAAAGTAGTAACTTCCATTAATAAAACACAACCAAACTTGAACAAGAAATGAATTAGTATTGTGAATTCAACCTTAGAAAAAATATCAAGGGTAAGAGATTGAAGAACCGGTTCGGGGTACATCTTACGAATGAGAAAGAATATATTTGACCACAAAGGATCGAGATATAATCAACTTAAATTTTTATGGTGATTGAGTTGACTATGCACACATACGTCGATCAAGCATTAGATAATTTGAGAAATGGTTTTGATAGCATAATTTAGAAACATTTTATTAGTTATGCAAGCAATTTTGCTTGAACTCTTTTTTGTCGTTCAATTCTAACGAATTTGTTTATATTGTTATTTTCTTGATTAAATAGATAATTTTATTCGAGGGCGAATAAATATTCAAATTTGGGAGTAATTGATAATTGTAATTTTACACTTATTTCAAAAGTGGACATCATGAGTTCTTT